AGGCCGGCTGCTATCTCATATGCAGAAATGCATATCATGAATGCATTTGCATTTTAACTGGCTCGACACTGTTACAAGAGGAAATACTTATTGTTTCAAATAGGCGACACTATTACACAGGATATTATAGTTACATTTTTGAGTTTATTATTATGGAAAATAGATATGAACACAGTCGGAACTCGAACCCACGATTAACAGTACATGCAAAATCTATACTAATATTATAAAGCTGAAGAGTTCGTTTGAAGGAAATCTCAGGAACTGGTTTGTCTTGAAAAATTCAAGATACCGAACAAACATTTATGTATTGAATTATTTCTCGCTTAACTTGCAAGAACGTCGGGACACGAACAATGTCGTGGGTACCAGGTATAACAATGGGGAGGGGGTTTTGTAAAGGAGGAAGTTCTTCATAAATCACCAACCGATGCATGCTTCAAACGATTCGCACCTGCGACTTCTTGAGCTTACCGCTGTACAAGACAGCGCGATTTAGAAACGAGAAGCAAAATATGTTAAAAGACACGCTTCGTACTTCAATAGTAAAAGCGTCGGTTGGATGCGAGGATCTAGGTTCGATTCCCAGGTGACACAGAAATGCGTCCCCATGCTCTACATAAGACTGGCTGGAGTTCATAAAAATTCATAGTATTGTACATCGCATTATGCAGAGATCGTCCTAACAATGGTTAGAAGAATGGGGCCCCAGTTATTCCTTCTGGGATAAATTGTGAAATGCTCCAACAGCACTTAGCTTCGTATTCAACTACAAATGGCGCTTGAGATATTGGAATCTTGTTATGCATTTCTCAAACAATGTTTTATTTCCAACAATGCGATACTATTTTTATAGTTTGTTGTCGATGATAAGAATCGTTCAGTATAAAATCTAAATAGAAATAATAATAATCGCAAATACTTTTATGGTTAAGACTATGGTCTTTTTGAAGGATTTTTACGTCCTGTGCTTTGTAGCTTTTATTGGAAGAACTAGAGTCGTTTAGGTACTCACTCAAAATACATTTTATAATAAATAAAGGTTTCGTACTCGCGTAACTACGCAAATATCGCAGCAAACAAACTCATTAACACTATACGGAAATTTAAACAGTGTATTGAAAGTCATATCGAACCGTTAATTGTCTCGTAGAGTAAATTAGGCTGTGGTCTACTATAAACGCGGTTATATGTTATAAGTCAGTGCCGCTCATGCAAGGCAGACGAGGCATCGTTTGAAAGATTTGTTACTATGATACGGAAGAAAATACAAGCAAGGGATTCTTTTGATGGAATGCGAAATAACCCAGCTATATAAAATCTCAACAAGTTGCGCCGTCCACCTATTTCGGCTCTAGATCTTCGGAATCCAAAATGCATTCCAAAATTGCAACTCCAAAACTTTTCCAATAAATTAAGAAATTACCGTATGAGACGAATAACGGCGCGGCGTAAAGCGATCTGAGCTTACGGCTTCCAATATATAGCTGTAAAAGACACAGCAACATCGCATGTTTGTATTAGTGTTCGCTATGTATAGCGTTTATAAGAGACCACAGCCTTAAAGGAAAATGTTACTAAAACAACATTTACTGAAGCTATCGCGTTATTAATAAATTAACGTCAGTTTATCTAAAGAGCCTTCGCTCCAATAAAACGGTTTCTAGTGCGAGACGCGATTAATAGGGCAGTAGGGCAGGCAAATGTTAGTTAAGATTTCAGCTCCGGCGCTGAAATTAAAAACCCTCATTAATGTTCTTAATAAGACATTCGTAAAATACGGTCAGGTGTGTTCTATGGAGGTTAGGCACCTATAGGAATTTATTTAGTTTAAATAAAACACTTTAAACGTAAAAGCAAAATTGCGTTTTAAATCGTTAAAAGAGTTTTATTTAACTACTACTCGCATGAGCTACAGACAATAAATAATTGTTAGGTTGAGCATAAATTGTAGATGCTATAACTAGCTAACAACGTGGTTTATAAGAAGTTATTCCTTAAAAATGTAATATATTTTTTTTAGGATTACCCCCTCATCTTAGGTTGAAAAAATTGTTAAGTTAAAGTCAATGTTATAAGCTTAAAGTTCTCCCTTAGCTTTTAGGAAATAAAATTAAAACCTCTCTATATTAAGCCAAAGTAACTCTGTCAGTCTGTCTGTCTGTCCGGCTTTAAGCTCCGAAACTACTGAACTGATTTAAATGAAATTTGGTACACAGATATTTTAGAGCCTGAGAAAGGATAAAGCTACTTTTTATCCAGAAAAGGGTTGATAGGGGGGTTGAAAAAGGGGGATGAAAGTTTGTATAGAAATTCGTGGTTTTTAAAGCTATAACAAATTTTTCCTTAAATAGGCGTGATTTGAAGAGTTAAAATACACTTATAAAATCAGCCTAAATCACAATTCCGCGCGGAGGAAGTCGCGGGCACAGCTAGTATACTCATAAAATCAAAGTATTAAAAGTTTTCGCAAAGTGTTTAGACCTTGAAAAGTCTACCGATTTTCGGTGGAACATTCTATGCCAAAAAGCTACGCATGGGAAGATATATCGATGTTACGGCCTTGAATTTGAACTATTGTTCAAACTATCGTCGAAACGTAAAGAATAAAAAGGTACAGTTTGTTAGTTATATAGCCAATACACGCGAAATTAAAATGGTTTTTTTTATGCTTGTGAAATTTTAAAAATATTCTAATAACTCTGAAATAATAATGTTAATGTTTTGTTCAAGAAACACATAAAGTGTGATAAGTATAATACCTACTGTCTGTACTTTACGCGAGCAGGACATATTTAAATAAAACAGTCTAAAACGCGATATCTATTAGTTAAACTAACGATTTGGATGCTTTGCAGCATCGTGGTCATATGGCTCGAAACGTCGGGCCGTAGTAAAAATATTTTTCAAATAAGATTAACTATATATCGCGTTTTAAACTGTTAAAGTGTTTTATTTAATCATAATACACTTGTGTTGGGTCTGTACCCATTTTAAATGCGTATCGAATGAATAATACAATTCGTACTTTTGTCCGCGACTGTACATGGGTTACGCCTTGACATTAATACGTGTTCCATTAACGCCTCGTAACCTCCATTCATTGATTTTCGGACATGATTGTACCCTACATTATATTTCAATAAGATTTTTATATGACCATCTCCCCTAAGTGGGGCATGGGTGATGGGACGTACATTTGTCCACACTTATAATCTCTGTCCGAGCGAAACTATCTTGTTTACACTTTGCGGTCTTGGACATCTTGCGCTTAACGCAATGCGTTAAAACACGTGTTTTGTATTCTTTAAATTGGGACTAATTTGAAAAATACCTTTAATTAAGTATTGGCTGTGGTACTCCGACCGTTCATCTTTGGTCCATAGTGACCACTAACCAAAATAAATAATATCATTTGCGTTTTAAACCGTTACAGTGTTAAATTACATTCCTTTATTTAATTAAAACAAAAAAAATCAATTTATTTTCATTTTAAATTATATGTATAGTGCCTTATTGATCAAATTTAATGTTTCCTTTATCTATTCAAATATATGTGTTTGTAAATTTACGGACACAAAAAATACAGAGAAATCTTGTAAATTTTAAAACTAAATTAAAATATTATTTACCACAGATGTCAGCTTCGTTACTGTTCTACGGAAAATACCTTTAGTCTATGGATTAATTATAATATAGACTTGTCCGAGACTGTAATTGTTCAGTAAATAGATCAGTTAAATCTAAGTTATAAGCCCGTTTAAGAGCTACGAGCTATGAGATTAGACAACCCATATAACTGTAACCTAATGCACTGTTATCCTACTTTAGTGATCATAATAATAACTCTGTAGCTGAAGCTATAGAGGTTCTAAATTCGAATCTTAGGAAAACTATAGTTTGTTTCGATCGCATCAACTTCTTGCCTGTAAATAAAACCGATCACTGAAACGCACACAAGAATGTGTTCGCCCAATGCCCCACGGTGGATAACGGGATTTCACACTGTAGTTAACACTGTGTATATAAATTACGTAATTGAAGTTTTATGATGAGGACATACACGCAGAGGATCAATTGATGAAAAGCCAGCTTTACGATAATTATAAACGATTAAAAAATATTTATATGCCTAGTTAGTTTGGTGCATATAAAAATTAGCTAGCGGAGAGCGGTACGAAGATATATAACACAACAAAATACGGGTTTGATGTTTTAATTCTTTATTTAAAATACTTTTTATTCTTATTAGTGCTCTCCTGCGCATTATCATTTACTGTATATTTATATAAAAAACGTTTTTCTAAATGTGAATTAATATTCTGTCCTCTAACCGCCATATCACAATTGTGTTACTTATCATTGCGTTAAGCACGTGAGGTCCTCAATTCGAAATCGAGTCTCATCAACTTGCCCGTAAATAAGATCGATCAGTAAAGAGACATAGTATTATGTCTGCCCCATGTTCCCAATAGAAGATACAGGACTGTAATAACATGTATAATAAACATAGGTGCGTAGTTTTTTAATTATGTCGCAAGGAACGTATATTTTTATATCTACTGTTTGTAAATATAAATAAATTATATAATAGTCTGAATGAATTACATGTAACCGTGCCAAATTGCATATTCTCACCGTAATAATTTATTGTTATCGAAAATGACATCAAAGAAATTACAACTCGCACCTACGTAGGTACACGTCTGTGTCTATTCAATCGTTTAGGTCTCTTATTTATATCTTAATTTTCATTTACTTAATTTTAATATCTATTAAGTAATAAGAAAAATTCGTGTTATGTGGATCATGTGCTGCAGCAAATTTCTTGCGCAAGACTTCCCAAAACGTAGGTACTTAAACTTAAGTTTATTTAATAGGTTTTATTAGGTCTCCTAAATTTAAGATTTCGCAAGCAAGAAAACCTTTGAGCGCGGTCATTAAAATCCGACCTTGAACGTTATCGCGTTACTTATGCTGCATGTAAAGATCGTGAAACCATGAAAGCGATTCGTTTTCCTCGTCTCCGACTGACAGCCCGTTCGAATCAAAACATAATAGTTAAAAACAACAGCGGCCTTGAACGGTAAGCAGATGGCTGAAAATAAAACGCCGCGTGGAAATAGCCACGAAAATACGTGCACGTGATATCGTACCTTGCGTAGAGTCGTGAGAAAATCGATGGTGTGTACCACTCAACGACCGACTGCTGACTGAGCCACTGTGTCAGGAGATCGCGCCCGGCCCGAGCCGAAGTATCACAGTTCGAATTAAAAAAAAAATCACCAGAATCTCACTTGAACAGTTTTGACACTTAAAAAAAATAGGCGGCTCCGAGATTTTGTTCGCGTTCGCGCGAGGTTTGCAGCGACGTGCAGCCAGGTCGGTGTGGAGCCGCGGACTGTTCGGATCGAGGTTCCGCTGGCAACTCTTTGCGGTGAAACAGCGCTGCGCGCCGCTGCTGAGCTGCAAAAGCGATAACTTAAATCGCGGCTTCGAGCGCTGAAAGCTGGAAATTATGAAAAGCTCAAATTATTTACTCGGTGAATTAAAGTTGTTCATGGAAATTAAAAATGATATTTACTGACATAATTAATGTATTTCTGGCTTACCAATATAGCATAGTAAGTAATATCTGTATTCTTGATAACTTGCAATATTTATATATCGCGTAATAAGTTAGTATTAATAAATCTACATTCTACAATAATCTACTTTATCGAGTAGATAAATATTAGTAGCCATAATTGGCTTGTGATATTTAAAACCTTCTGCCTGAGGGTACCCACATTTAGTTATTGATAAAATGTGTAACATGATGTAACGATACACATAAAATAGCGCTTAAAGTTTGATTAAAATTGTGCTTGATTATCCGTTCTCAACCCTTCGAGCGCTTGAATAGCTGCATTCGTAGCTCCGAGGCTAGCCGTAGAGGCGCCCCCCTCATGACGTCGATGGTGGAAATTAGCAGCTTCCCGAGGGTCGTCAGATGTAGGTCACGGGGACTGGACTGCAAGCAATCTACCGTGCCGATACACTTGACAAGTTTAAGGACGTAATGGTAAGATGCACATTTTACGTTTGATTTTGTAGTTATTTACGTAGAGATTGTAAGAATAATATTTAGACAGTGTCTGTAGTTTACGCGAGTAGGATACGTTTAAATGAAACACTTTTAACGGCTTAAAACTACTTGCCGTAGTTAAATTAAAAATAAGAAAACTAATATTTGTTCGTTATAAACTGTTAAAGATGATCTATTTAAAAAATAATATTTTACATAGTCAATGTCATTCTTCTGATTGTGAGTTACGAAAATCGTTAACTCTTTATCGATTTTTGTTAACTCTGTTTGTAATTTTCCATTTGAAAATATAATATGGAAGGGATATAAATGCGATTTTTAGTAAAGGTTTGTTATTGCAAAGGTCAAAATGAATTTTAGTTTACTCTTTCTATTTAATTCAATAACAAATAGGTTCATTGTCATTCAAAAAAACGGAATATTAGCGCAGAATAAAGTTAAACAAAGCAATTCTATTATTAAAAAATTGTTAGTAGATATTTAAAATATACGACGCATAATACAAAGGTTTGTTGCAAACCAAGTCTAGTAAGTAAAGAACGTATTTCTTAATATGTAGGAAGCGATAACATTCTCTACATTGTAAATAAGTGAACCTTGGTCCCAATATTTTCTATTTAGAAGTATTCACGTGAACTTTACACGTAAATCAGACGAACATCTGTACCTATCTTATCCAACTCCATGTACCAAAGCAGGAAGATAAACTGCTATCATTTTGATAAAGCGTCCGCAACGGTCGTTATCTCTAAAATAATCAAGAGATTTCAGCCATCTGAATCAGAGACGTAAAGAGGGAAATATTTGCAGAGTTAGAAAAAGTAGAATTAACTTTGTTAGTTGACAAGTAGTTGATGTCTGTACCTTTGAAAACTTTAATATTTTTCACATGCTATGGCACTATACAAATTAAATATCGATTATGAATTAAAAAATATTACGACACGGGCAGGACTTGAACCTACATCGATAGCGTTCCGTACTGTTGCTCTAATTGAGCTCATTTTTTTTTCAATTTAATCGTTAATTTATCTGTAACTTGTGCAACCAAAGCTTTGTATGTACCCCGTTTTGAATTCACTATAAAATTTAACAGCGAGTTATTAAATACAGACGCTTACATTTTTTTTCTGCTAGAAGAGGACAGACAAGCCCTGGGTTCACTAGATGGAAGCTGAAACACCCCAGCCATATAAAATCTCAACAAGATGCACTGTTGATCTATTTTAGTATTCGAAAATCCACAGACTGAATCCAAACGCGATTAAACTTCACGGCTTTATCATGGACGTTGGTTCGTGACCAGGTCGGAATTCCGATATTCCTGAAAATTTACAGACTAAGTCCAACGTTTCAGAAATAAATGTAAATCGGTTAGAAACAGACCCGTGGGACGATGCCATGACCCGTGGAATATTAGACATACCGTTCATTTCCAGCCCGTCAATTTATTGTAAATGTTTGTATAGTCCTGTATCTCATATGTGGGGCATTGGGTCAGATACATTACAATCGATGTTTTACTGATCGATTCCATATGTAAGCAAGTAGTTGATTAGACTTCAGTGCCGTGTCATTACACGCTCATTAATATCTTTTCCGGCTTTAGCCCAGGATATAGATAATTCTAAAGCATCAATTTTAGTTTGGTTAAAAATTTCCCAATAGCTCAAATACTTTTAAATTAAGGTACGAAAAAAATATTGCAGGGGAATTTTAGAGGCGAATTCAGTCGCGTATATAAAGTAAAAAAAAAATATTTTTGTGGTTTTCTTTTCTAATGTTTTTTTGATGTTACGTTTTTGTAAATTGTTTAATGGAAACATTTTGTGTTATATTTTAGTTTATATGTATTGATCTACTTCCAATGACAAGCGTGGGGCATCACTGAAATCGTTGTCTACTTTCAGGTAGAATAAAAGTTGAGCGGTGTGTACATACATCAGTTTTATTATTTATATTATTGTATTTTTATGTGTCTTGAAATTTGATTATAATAAACATACTTAATAAAATAATATAGCGTTCTGTATTAAACATATGCGGTTAATTTAACAAATGCCCTAGGTTAGTATTGTAAAAGTTAACTGGAGCGGTAAGAAGTAGTTTCAATGGGAATAGTTGTCTAGAATTTATGCACTCATTGTAATTGTGAACAAGCTGGAAAAACATAACTGTTATAAGATTTTTTTATAAAATGTTTATTGTTAAGATTGCGCTAAATCATATTCAGTATGTACTGCTTACAAAACTTACTAAACCTACCTAAAAATAATATATATTTTTAATGGTAGAGGAGGTCAGACAAACAGCCTATAGTATCTAAAGGAAGATTCTGTGTATTTTGACTTTGGATATTTGGATATATTTAAGCATACGCATTTTTTAACAATTACTCAATCAATTGCGTTTCTTAAAATTAAAACAACAATTCGATTACTCAAGATTACTTATAACTACAACAACATTTTTATAATATTGACTTGTAGTTATTTATATATTGCTTTGTGGAGTGATATGACATTATATCCATTTCATCCATATATTGAAATAACTGAAATCGTTGAAAATATTTTTTTTTTTTACTTTTTTTTACGTACGTTCAGTTTTAATTCGTGCCACCAAAATATTCATAATTAAATTTTTTAAATTCTTCCAATTTTGAAATATTTAATTTTTGGTACTACTTGTTATAGACAAGTGGAAATCAACTTAGCAAGCTTTAGTGTTGACGCCTTTTAGCACAAAGTTAAAATTGGAAAGTTTTCTTTTTTATTACTTATTTTTGTAAATTATGTACTTTGTATATCAGGATTATCTATTTTTTATTTATTTTTAGATGATATTGTGGTTCAAACTCCGGAAAAAAAAGGAAAATATTAATTTATTACCTTCTAATAAAATATAGAGAATTAAGTGCCAATGAAATGAATAACATAATTATAACTATAAAACACAAGTCTGTATAATAGTGTAAATACTGTTTAGGAGTAGTACACGTTTAAATAAAACACTAACGTTTAAAACGCGATATATTAGTTAGCCGTGGCCACGGCTGGCAAGCATCCGAAAGTGACTGAATTTAAAAATCATTTTCAAATAAGGTTAACTAATATATCGCATTTTAAACCGTTAAAGTGTTTAATTTAAATACTGTCGTAATATCTATACTTATATTAAAAAGAAAATACTGGTTCTAATTGAAAAAATATTTTTGTGTTGGTTAAAGCATTTATCGAGGAAGGCTTTAAAACATCAAGCTGCGACTAATAGGCGCAAAGAAGCGTGCGCAGGGAAAATGGTTACGGTAAACGGGAATATTTATACCCAAAATATGTATGAAAGAATGATTTCTCTTTATATGTCTATCTTTTATGTATAACTTGCAAGAACGACAGCACACGACCGTTGTGGGATAACAGATATATATGATTTAATTGTTTTATTGAAATTATGAGTAGGAGGTATTCACGGTATATATATTGGTGTATTAACTTTTCACGAAAATCTTTCTCTAGCTCAAATAGATGAATAGATATACTCCAGCGGGAAACACAGTGTCATCTACAGATCTGTGGTAACTTGTTAGGTTTCGTTCGGATTGCTAGAAAAGCCAATTTATCGGATGTAATGTCGACAAAATTACAGCCCTGACATTGCACATTGACATAATAATTACCTTTTGTTAATGTTGGTGTAATAAAAGCAATGGTCGGCCAATAATCAGCGGGTCGTGGATTCGATCACCACCGGGTTTCCAACATTTATATTTTTAAATGAAACACTTTAACGGTTTAAAACGCGATATATTTGTTAAACTTATTTGAAAATGATTTTAACGTCGAAAACGTCCGAAACGTCGGAGCCGAGGTTAAGAGTCATTTCCAAACTAAGTTGAACTAATATATCGCGTTTAAACCGTTTAAGTGTTTTATTTAAATCTATACTTCTCGCGTATGGACAGTACTAAGAGAGATCAAAAAGCCTTTTCCTTTTTTGGCTTAGATTAATATTCGTAAAGCCGTTTATATTTCATATAAATGTAAATAACGAAGAATGGAAAGGTCGACCGCAAGGGAATACTTTTCATTATATCCCTGAATGAATCAATTCAATATTTTATTGGGAAACTCGAACAATACGGAATATTCCCGGGAAAAATTCGGTCGTACAAGGGTGTTGGCGGTCCTTGTTAATGAGTGTGAGGGAAGTGTTTGAGGATACGAGGCGTTTGCGGAGCCAAATAAAAATATAATATTGGCGATAGGAATAAAATAAATGTTGTTTTGTCCGTGTATTTTAAGGCGAAAGTTAGTTGAAATGTTAATAATTAAAATACTGTTAGTAGTGTAGGCGAGTAGTACACATTACAAGTGCGTCTTAAAAATGAATTCCACAAAACAGCATACCCGCAAGTTGAACTAATATATATCGTGTTTTAAACCGTTAAACTGTGTGTTGTATATATTGGAAATGCTATTGTGTATATCTCGTTTTCCGGTTATTACATCACCATCATCATCAGTTCAGGCTGG